ATTTCTATCTTTGCATTTGCCTTTAAGCATTTAGTGAATGGTTTAGTGAGTTTTGCAAAGTCTTTGATAAATCGTCTATAGTAACCGAGTAATCCTAGGAAAGATTTTATTTCCTTTCGAGTCCTAGGTAACGGATACCGTTGTATGGCATTGATTTTTTCAGGATTTGGTTTCACTCCTTCTTCCGTGATTAGGTGTCCAAGATACTTCAGTTCCTTTTTCAAGAAATTACATTTTTCGATATTTATCTTAAAATTTGCCTCTTCCAATCGTTGAAATACTTTTGTGAGCTTAATTATATGTTCCTCGAGAGACGATGAGTAAATAATTATGTCATCTAGATAGACGAGACAATCATTTTCCTGTAATCCGCGCAATACACTGTCCATAAGACGTTGGAACGTCGCTGGGGCATTCTTTAGCCCAAAAGGCATGCGTCTAAACTCATAATGGCCTTGTTCAGTGGAGAAAGCAGTTTTGGGAGAGTCTTTCTCATTCATCTCAACCTGATGATAACCACTAGCTAGGTCTAGGGAAGTGAAATAATGACATCTTTCTCATCTATCTTCTACCATATTAGCGTTAAGTTTTCTGTAGTCAATCACCATTCTTTTCTTTAACCTTCCGTCTTTTTCTTGAGTTACTATGTGGACGGGGGCTGACCACGGTGATATGCTTTCCTGTATTATGTCTTGTTGAAGTAGTTGTTCTACTTGCCTTTTAATTTCTTTGCGTGTTTCTAAGGATTGCTAAGGATTGGCGGTACATTTTTACATAAATTGGATCTTCGTTTTTCATGTTCAGTGAATGTTTTACGGCATGCGTGAATGTTAACTTTTGTCCTTCTATCTGTATCAGATTTTTAAGTTTGTATAGAATTACTCTTAATGCTGCCAGTTCTTCGATATTTAAAGATGTTTCATAATTATAGCATAAATTTATTTTATCTTCGAATTCTACCACGGGTTGTACAGTGACATTTGGTTCAATTCCGTTATCTTTGAGTTCTTGACAAAGAATGTTATTTAATTGGACATAAGTTTTTCCATTTGAAACTTTTACGAGAGCAGGTGGGGACAAAATTGTATCTTCTCCATTTGCAATTTTTGATTTGAGGGACCCGGTATCATAAAATTTACAGAAGCTTGGTTTCCTTCCACTTCGTAATTAATGTTGGGTTCGTAATAAGGTTCATTTTGAAAATGTGTGATATTTTTGACGTTACGGTCATCATTATAATCCCATGTACCTTCTTCAACACTTTGTGGGGCATCAAACGTTTCTTCGTTTATTGGTAGTTGTTCTTCAAAAATTTCCTGCATAGTATTGGCGTTCCATGGTCTTTTTGTTGGTCTTTGTATGGTTGAACCAAATCTTTTATTTCTTGAGTCAGATGTATCCATTGGAGTTGGCATTGGTTTGAAAGTTTGTCTCTGCATAACCTGTCCCGGTAATAGAGCAAATCTCGGTTGATTATTAAATTGATTTGGTCTTGCAGGTGGTACGTATCCTTGTGTTGGTTGCCTTTGTTGAGGAACGAATTGTGGTACATATACTGGTCTCTCAGATCTGTATTGTTGTTGATTTGTGGATGATTGTATTGGAAATGACATATTTTGTTTCGTTGGCATTGGTAATTTTCGATGTTCGAGATATCGTCGTTTTTGCAAATTGAAATTTTCTATTTCAGTTGCATATGCCTCTGCGGTTTCGATATCCCCTGGAGAACGTAATTTAACTTCCATAGCTAATTTTTCATCTATCAAATCAAGTCCAAAGAGAAATGTTCTTAAAGCGGTGTGGTTGTATTGTGTAATTTTGATATGACGTAAATTTAGATCGTTCTCTTCCAAATTTACTTTCGAGAGGAGAGTATAAAGGGTCGTTTTGATCCTTGCCGCGTATTTTTGAGCACTTTCCAATTTCAAGGGCATGATATTATTCAGGTCATATGCTAAAACATCTTCAGACCGTTTGTCTCCGAAAGAATGGACCAGAATGTTTTTTAATTCTTCCCAACTAGCAGGGATTCTGTTTGCGTCAAGCGCTTCTCTGGCCTTTCCCATAAATATCATCAATAAGCGTCTAGCCGTTCGATTTCCATCATTTAGATTTGGATTTAAAAAGTCTTCAATTAAATATTCGCAAGCCGTTACATAACTTCTTAAAGTCGTTTTATCTCCATTAAAAACGGGTATCAAATTTTGGTCAACGGGCTTAATTTCTCTCGCCATCTCGTTATCAATTTCGTTAATTATTGCCAATAAATCGCGTANGTTGACAATTCCTCGTCTTCCTCTTCATTTTTATTGGAATCGATATATTTTTACTGGTATCACTTTTATACCCACTGTTTGGGTATTTACCCTGGGCCGGGGTAAATTCCCGGATAAATACCCATTTTAGAAATACCTACCCGCCAGGTATTTACCCAGCGCCCATCACTGCATCTGGTTTTAAGTTAAGTACTTGGGGAAATCCCGAGATAACTGACAGGTTGTTTCCACCAGTTTCTACTTAAAAAGTTGGTAAAGGCGGGCTTAACGTCGCAGGCGGAGTTTATTTTAGTTTATTTGCTTTAAATATCTATAATTATTATTTAAAACTAGTTATTAAACCTAAAATTATTGGTCTTTAATTGTAAACAAGCTTTATCTTTTATTAATANGCAAAATAATTTGATATTAAAATACTATTATTTAAGTGTTTGCCTAACCTACCATTTAAATGACTCCACGTATCTACCAACTGAAAGTCTGGCCCCTAGTTAGAAAAAAAATAATTTTGATTAAATTCGCTATAACTAAAGAACGGTTTGATCGATTTCAATGTTCTATGTCTCAAACGAAAGCTTGCGTCTGGCTGATTAATTATGTGTAAAGTATATTGAACACTTCCATATCTGAATCTGCTAGTTTTTTATATGTATATGTAAATAGAATAATCATGCAAAATAATTTGATATTAAAATAGTATTATTTAAGTGTTTGCCTAACCTATCCTTTGATATGGACTCCCTCAGCTGATAGAATGAGAGTCATTCGGCTTGCGCCTACTACATATCAATCCTATTATTCCACGTGGAAAATAACCATGATACTTTGATCTCAATGAGAGTTAGTACTTTCATGGAGGCATTGTCGTTAGCGAGGCTTACAAACCCTCCAGCATGCCTATGACGTAGGTATATCTGCATCATGATTATTTTCCACGTGGAATAATAGGATTGATATGTAGTATGCCCAAGCCGAATGACTCTCATTCTGTCAGCGGAAGGAGTCGATATCAAAGGATACGTTCAGCAAACACTTAAATATTAAATAATTTAAGTTTTCTTTATTTATTCTCGTTTTCCTCACCATTACCGCTAATAAGAATTTTTTATTTTTATTTTAGTACCTAAATTAGTTTATGTAAGTAGTCCTTATTAGAGTATATGCGATAAGATAATTTATAATAATTAGTATTGTAGCGTCTATGTTCGAATATATGCCTTAAATATTGTATTTTTTCTTTAATTTATTTAAATAGATTATATTTATTTATTTCTTTCATAATTTGTTTCAATAGTTGATCCCACGGTTAGGCACGGAGGCCCTAGCGTTTGCTTTACATAACTTTTATTTTATTTAATTTTTTTTTCTTTAATAGATGCGTGCGCCAATTCACGCCATCAAATCACTAAACAAGATACACTAAAAGACATTTCCACATTTAAAGATTGTTATTATTTCCTTCAGTAAAATGTTTATTAGTCCTACTTCATTTTGGTGCGTTTTTAAGATTCTTTCTAAGGAGAATTTTAAATAGTAACGACTGTATATATATATATATATATATATATATATATATTATGAGGTCGAGGCTAATTAATCGTCTCTTTTCTTATTATGTCTCTATCTCACTTATCTACATTAATTTATTCTCTTTTTGAGAATAAACAGTGCGTGGTGCAACCCAACATACAGTTTCCGAATTTGTACATATGGTTAGCAATCTGGAGTAGTATAATTAATGATACTACTCCAGATTGTTAATCATCACAGCCCCAGATCCTGATTCTATGTCGAAATCCCACCGTAAGATGGCATTAGCGGCCATACTGAAATAATTTAATTAAACTAACAATTTTATTATAAATAGTGGGAATGATCAAAGACAGCAATAACAATTATTACCAGTATCATTCTTTTAATTTAAAAAGTATAGATTCCAATCGTTTTATATTTTTAATTTGCCGCTAACTTCAACTTTTAAAATTTAAAAAATTGAAATTTGTTCAGAATGACAGATGAAAACATCATTTTAAAGTGATTTTTCGGTAAAGTAATAATGGAATGATTAAATAATTAGATTATAATTGACATTATAGCTTTGTTTCAGCTAACGTTACAACTGGTGAGAAGTTCGTCAGATGCAATCTCACATATCATATGATGCAGTGATATTCAAATGTGGCAGTATTATTTGAACGGACGGACGGAACGTTAATTGGACCCACATAGTGGCTCTAAACACTTTCCAAACAGTTATTCTGTGGTTGGAGCTTTTATATGTAAACCCAATCCAACCTGTATTCTAGTGGTTCGGTTCTTATCTGAATAATTCCAAAATATCCCCAACAGATGGCGCCACATGCGTTCAATTTTTAGTACGAAGTTTTTGTTCATAGAATTGTATTTCTACGAAGCTATTTTCTATAACCATCAGTGACATGATTATTAACATATCACTTAATAATCATGTCACTGGCTAACCATATGTATAAAATCGGCAACTGTGTATGTTGGGTTGCATCAAGCAGTGAATTATCGTACCCAACGTTATTATTGCAGAGATTTCGGATACGATAATTAATTAAACATACTAAAAACTAAGAATAAGTTCTTTATACTTTTAGGTACAATTTGATACCATGTATGATCGTTTATACTAAAAAATTTTTCTGTTTGATTCTAAATTAATTTATTATTAGGCAACTCAATTTGCATCTAACACATATAACCTTACTTTATTTTTCAAAGTTCCATAATATTCGTAACCTCACTTAATATTATTTTGATATTAATCTAATAACGTTGTATATAACTTATACTTTATATTACATTCTCTTCTCATTGATATATTTCCAAATTTGGTGTTTTAGGAGAATTAGATCCTAAATTGCAGGATTAGGATCCACCTAACTGGAAAGAAATAATAGGAAAATAGTGTTTCTAGCTATGAAAACAAATATTACAACGAAATCTTTAAAAGGAGTGGAAGTTCACAATATCTATCTAATTGTATCAATTTATAAAAGACTTATAAGTGAAGTAGTAAATGGTACAGAACAAGGAAATTTCAAAGGAAAGAATCATGAAGAAGCATAAATACATTCTACATGAACCATTATTTTTGAATGATATTCATTGTTTACTTTCAGAATAACAACAAGAACACAAGTAATCACTAAAATACTTGGAGAAGGAACAGAGGAGGAATTGTGTCTTCCCATTAAAGCAAATAATAGAAAAGAGAAGAGAGCAAATAAAGAGCCTTTACAAAGACACCGCTATAACAATAAACAGCATCTCAGACAAAGATTTGGATTTGATCTACATTAACCAAGGAGTAAGACAAGGCTGTTTTCTATCACTATTTGTATTAAATTTGTATATGGATGATCTCATCAAAAAATGGAAGGTCTAAAGGTTGCAATGTGGTTACTTAATTACTATATAACACACTTCATTATAGTAATGTAAAATCTAAGAAATTAATTCATTAATTTTATAAATAATTTAATTGTAAATTTTAAAGGTATCTGTAAATTAGTTGAAGTATTTTGAAGAAATTTCTCTATTGAATACGAGATGGTGCTAAATTTCTTTAAATTCCTTTAACTAATAGGAAGAAATCCCAGCGTGATTGTTTATAGCACATCCCGTCATTTAGGCATTTTGAAATGCGGTTTATTATTTTTTCTATTTTGGAAGGTTTACAAAAGTCGGACGGGGTTATGGGTTTATTAATAACGTTCAACGGGGCCGCTTTATATCGAAATGAGATCGACCACATGGCGTCCCCAAAAACTTGTAAAACGAAACCTGTACGGAATCAAAAAAATTTGAATGCATTTTACTTATTTTTACAACATTTAAAACGATTTGAAAAGAACAAAAAAAAATTCTTAGTACTTCTTAAAAGTGGCGCCTACACTCGAAAAACAAATCTTTTAAAACCTTGTAAAAGAACCACTAACAAAGAGTTTCATTGCGCCTCTTGAATTCATTGTTAACACTTCAATGCTCATTTTGAACCATTCAATATGAAAGAAAAGAATCGCTTCCGCCGCGGAATCCTCTAAGATGTTTTTACCTGTTTCCGGTGATACTTTTTTTTTTTTTGGTATGGTGCTGGGTGGCCGAGGAGGTTTAAGTTTAAGTTCCGGGAAGGGATGATTTCGTTCCTTTTGAGGAAAATGCTTCGACGAAATGGGCCAAGAATTCGATTTTCTTTAATTTTTTTTTTATTTTGATCGGGAATAATTGCAGGACACACACCGAAATTCTTTTAACTGTAAATTTTTATTACCGTCAAATTGGTGATCGTAAAATCTTGTACAGTTATGCAACGCTTTACTTTGATGAGTACCCAAAGAAATTAAATAATTTTTTTTTAACTTCTATTTCATTTCAATCTGATCAATACTAACCAATGTACAATTCTATTCCAACTTAAATTACTATTACAAGATCATCTTAAAGCAATTTCCTTAATGTTTTGTCATCATTAGATGTAGGTCAGAATCTTATATCGACTTTTGGGAATCCTTTCTTATTTTCATATCTCCGTGATTAGTGGTGGAGACATGAGTCTAGCTCTTCGCCCCATGTTTGAAGGTTTCAGGGTTTTGTTGTCGCTAATTGCAGTTTTGAGCCGCAAAGACAGATTAAAACTAAAAAGGAAGGAAATGGCAGAGAGCAATGAGAATGGCGAAATTATTTCTGCTTTGTTGTTTATGGCCATTCATGTCTTTGTGATAATGTTATTTTTATTGTTGTAAAACGTGCAGACTTCTATTTAAAGCATCGCAATAACGGGATTTATGGGAACTAAGAAATGATTTATGGCACAATAAAACTAGATCAAATTTGCTTTAAAATGCTTCATATTTCATTTCGATATCTTAATTAGTTCTTGAGATACGATATTTTTAGTTTGATTATGAACCTAGATAGCTGTAAAACATGCAGAATTGTATTTAAAGAACCATAATAACGGGATTTATGGAAACTAAGAAATTATTTATGGTACAATAAAACTAGATCAAATTTGCTTTAAAATGCTTCATATTTCATTCCGATATCTCAATTAGTTCTTGAGATACGATATTGTTAGTTTGATTATCAACCTAGATAGCTGTAAAACATGCAGAATTTTATTTAAAGAGCCATAAGAACGGGATTTATGGAAACTAAGATATTATTTATGGTACAATAAAACTAGATCAAATTTGCTTTAAAATGCTTCATATTTCATTTCGATATCTCAATTAGTTCTTGAGATACGATATTTTTAGGTTGATAATGTTACCTTGATAGTTGTAAAAAAAATTCTATTAAAAGCGGCGTAACAAAAGAAATCATTTATGGCATAATGAAAATAGATCAAATTTGCTTTAAAATGCTTCATATTTCATTCGCATATCTCAATTAGTTCTTGAGATACGATATTTTTAGGTTGATAATGTTACCTTGATAGTTGTAAAAGAAATTCTATTAAAAACGGTGTAACAATGGAATTTATGGGAACTAAGAAATAATTTATGGCACGATAAAACTACATCAAATTTACTTTAAAATGCTTCATATTTCATTCCGATATCTCAATTAGTTCTTGAGATACGATATTTTTAGGTTGATTATGAACCTAAGTAGCTGTAAAACATGCAGAATTTTATTTAAAGAACCATACTAACGGGATTTATGGAAACTAAGAAATTATTTATGGCACAATGAAAATAGATCAAATTTGCTTTAAAATGCTTCATATTTCATTTCGATATCTCAATTAATTCTTGAGATACGATATTTTTAGGTTGATAATGTTACCTTGATAATTGTAAAAAAAATTCTATTAAAAGCGGTGTAACAACGGAATTTATGGGAACTAAGAAATTATTTATGGCACAATAAAACTATATCAAATTTGCTTTAAAATGCTTCATATTTCATTCCGATATCTCAATTAGTTCTTGAGATACGATATTTTTAGTTTGATTATGAACCTAAATAGCTGTAAAACATGCAGAATTTTATTTAAAGAACCATAATAACGGGATTTATGAAAACCAAGAAATAATTTATGGCACAATAAAACTATATCAAATTTGCTTTAAAATGCTTCATATTTCATTTCGATATCTCAATTAATTCTTGAGATACGATATTTTTAGTTTGATAATGTTACCTCGATAGTTGTAAAAAAGAATCTGTTAAAAGCGGTGTAACAACGGAATTTATGGAAACCAAGAAATAATTTATGGCACACTAAAACTAGATCAAATTTACTTTAAAATGCTTCATTTTTCATTCCGGCATCTCAATTAGTTCTTAAGATACGATATTTTTAGTTTTAAAATGTTACCTTCATAGCGGTAAAACTACCAAATTCTGATTAAAACATCGTAAAAACTTTATTTAGTTGAACTAAGAAATAATTTATGGCACAATAAAAATTAGATCAAATTTGCTTTAAAATTCTTCTTATTTCATTGCAAAATCTCTATTAATTCTTGAGATACGATATTCTTAGTGTGATACCATTTTTTACACTCTGAAATTAGTTTAATTCCCAGTATCTCATTAATTTTGTTAACATCTTCGTTATGTTTAAAAAATGAAAATATGGGGATGTTTTAAAATGAAATATTTGTTGAATTTTTAACCGAAAATTAGGCCACAGATTCTTGTTTCTTTCCCCCATCGCTATAAAAGTCGAAGTACTTTCTTTTAAATATTATCTTCTCGAGGGTTATTTATAGTCATCGTTAAAACCAGATACTTAATTGCAGCTGGAGACTGTAAAACGGGAATTCCCATGTTTATTTAAACTACTTAGAAGATTTAAATTAAGTTTTAACTAATTAGTTTATTAATTTCAATGCAGTTGAGGATTTGAAATAGGAATTTGAAAAGAAATAACGTTAAGTGGTGGTAGAAAGTGTCATCTAGCACTTGATGATATCTTTTAACTTTTAAGAAATCTCAATGGTATCCCACTGACCGGATGTCGGAACATTCTCAAGGTAAAAGAATATAATGAAAGGGTCCTCTTATCACCTGGATTTTGGTCCGAAAATTCTCTTAATGTACCATAGAGGAATGTGTCATACCTTAGCCTCAAAGTGCCATCGACCAATGGACGTAAGAAAAAAAGACATAGGCGTAGTCTAATCCAAATCATTCTTCATAATACTAAATGATTAAAATTAAGGGATTTATGTATAAGAAAATGTGAATAAATTTAAATAGATGATGATTGATTGTTGGTAAGAATAAAATGATTGGGTGAAAAGTGAAAAGAAATGATGAAAACGAAGAAGTGCGCCACTGGTGGAGCAATAAATGTTGCCGGGGCTGTTAAGTGCCACATTCTTCGAGATAAGTTCTGCTAGGCGCATTTAACGGGCGCGCTTTTTTGCCCTTGTCACCGCCGACGTGCCTCCCGCCATCTCCCGGTCGTTCTGAAACATCATTTTACGCATTCTTCGAGTAATAGCGCATTGACGTATCGGCCACGACGACGACCACCGTTTCAGAACTGCACTCTGAAAATCTACCTTGCTTTTTTACAACCGCTGAATTACGCCGCCAAGATAACTATCAGGTTACAGTTATCTAATAATTAATCGGTCTCACTCCGAACGTCTCATACTTAACAACCAATTATTACTTTTTGTACAATTAATTAATTAACCGACAGTAACATAATGAAACAAAAGCTTTTTCTTCAGGGGCATTTTAATGGCACTCGTTAGTATTTGTGCAGACTTTTCCTCTTATAGTCTTTATACGACTCATTATATGGACCCCGAGGAGTTTTTCATTTCTTCGTCGGCCAAGAAATATAATTAAAGCGACTTCCAGCGAATCCAAACCTATAAATAATGAAAAGTTACTTTTTCTTTTTACTTGGAATCACTTTAATTAGAATTTTGTTTGTCAAAAACAATTGACAAACGAAAAAATTGATTCGTCGCATTAAAAACAATTTAACAAGTTTTTTTAACAAATATCATCTTGTGTTTTTGTATTAAAATCAGCTAATGTTTAATTAATTGTATTCTCAGAACTACTTCAACCAGTTTATCTTCTTCGGCGCAAAAAAAATAACTTCAAAAGTTAGAAAAAGAAAACTGACAAAGACGTTTTGATGTCATCCGTATTGATTTATTCGAATATTTGGTAATAAATAACAACGACGAAGTAAAATAATAAAATAATGACTTGTACGCGTAATTAAATCGTTGATTTACGTTAAGTTTGAATTAATTATCACCTTTGGCTTTTTTTTTCAAATCGTAATGGATTTATTCAAATGTGCACGCTACAGGTGTTAATTATTTCTACAAGATTAGTTTTTCAAATTCTTTTTTTGTACTTGGGCGTGATATCGAGACGTGTAAACGATTTTATTGAAGGTTAATGTTAAAATCTAAATATTTTATATTAAGTATGAATATATAAATTAACGATTATTTTATTGACCTTTTACACTATTGAACTCCTTACAATAATCATTGATATTTTGCATCTATATCAGAGGGTTTTACGCAACATATTTTGTATTTGCCTATGATATTTCTCTTCTGGCATGATGTTTTTATATGCAATTCATCATAATATTATTACCAAGTCCAATATTTCGCTGCTACGACTGATGATTTGCTTCTGACCACAAAATTTTCTTTTGTATCTGCCATGATAGTATTTTTATTACTAATTCTTTACTTTTGTACATAATATTTTATTTCTGTCAATGATTTATTTTGCCGCCAATCACCATAATACTATTGGCAGAGTTTAAATTGATGAATAGGAGTTTGGAGATGGAATAGCTCATGCTGCTAACAAGTTCCATCAGGAATGTCATCGATTCCTGGAGTTTTGTTGTCGCTCATTGCATTGTTCAGCCGAACAAAACCGAATGAAAATATCAAACTAAAACTGAACAGGAAGGAAATAAGAATGGTGAAATGATTTCTCTTTGTTGTTTATGGCCATTCATCCTTGTGATAATGTTACTTTGATAACTGTAAAACGTGCAGACTTCTATTTAAAGCAACGTAACAACGGGATTTATGAGAACTAAGAAATCATTTATGGTACAATGAAACTAGATGAAATTTGCTTTAAAATGCTCCTTGTTTAATTCCAACATCTCAATTAGTTCTTGAGATACGATATTTCTAGTTTGATTATGAACCTAGATAGCTGTAAAACATGCAGAATTTTATTTAAAGAACCATAATAGCGGGATTTATGGAAACTAAGAAATTATTTATGGTACAACAAAACTAGATCAAATTTGCTTTAAAATGCTTCATATTTCATTCCGATATCTCAATTAGTTCTTAAGATATGATATTTTTAGGTTGATAATGTTACCATGATAGTTGTAAAAAAAATTCTATTAAAAACGGCGTAACAACGGAATTTATGGGAACCAAGAAATAATTTATGGCACAATAAAACTAGATCAAATTTGCTTTAAAATGCTTCATATTTCATTCGCATATCTCAATTAGTTCTTGAGATACGATATTTTTACGTTAATAATGTTACCTTGATAGTTGCAAAAAAAATTCTATTAAAAGCGGTGTAACAACGGAATTTATAGGAACCATGAAATAATTTATGGCATAATGAAAATAGATCAAATTTACTTTAAAATGCTTCATATTTCATTCGCATATCTCAATTAGTTCTTGAGATACGATATTTTTAGTTTGATTATGAACCTAAATAGCTGTAAACCATGCAGAATTTTATTTAAAGAACCATAATAACGGGATTTATGGAAACTAAGAACTTATTTATGGTACAATAAAACTAGATCAAATTTGCTTTAAAATGCTTCATATTTCATTCCGATATCTCAATTAGTTGTTGAGATACGATATTTTTAGTTTGATTATGAACCTAGATAGCTCTAAAGCATGCAGAATTTTATTTAAAGAACCATAACAACGGGATTTATGGAAACTAAGAAATTATTTATGGTACAATAAAACTAGATCAAATTTGCTTTAAAATGCTTCATATTTTATTCG